GCCAGTTCTGTGTTTAATAATACAAATATAATTTGTGTGTGTGACTTTTCCTACCAGATTTACCTGGAAAGATACAGTAAGGTGGATAAAAGTCCTTTTTTTATCACCTTCCAGTATTGAAATGCCAGGTCAACCTAAGTACTTTAGTACTAATATCTGGACAAATGATGTTTCAACATCTTAACTGTTACAGAAAGATAAGCCCAAAGCCCTGAAACCCAGATGAATTCAGTACAGAACAGTGCCTGCGAACCAGATGTATTGAGCAAGTGCATTTGGAGAGTTCAGCAGTGAATATTAAGGCTTTATATAAAACGCAAGGTCCAGTTTATATTGCAGAACTTGAGAATAACGTTAGGCTTGCACTGTGTGTTTTGGTGCTTTGTACCTGCCCCTCCTTAGAAATATGCACGTTAGCTGTGATTTTTGTATCGTGTTTGTATACAGACACTGAGTGTGAGCAAGCGTAAAATGCTCCTGAAAATTTGGATGTCTCTATTGGGTAAAAGAAGCATTTTGCATTTTCCTATCTGTTTGCTCTCCTCTGAAATTACAGCTTTAGTTCCCTTTTCTCATATTTATATCTGTTGTATTGTGTTGTTCCACTTAACTTTTATTCTTCCAGAATGCTTTCCCTCCGTATTTAAGGCTCACAAACTTGTCCAAGAATTTGCTCTAATCATTGTTATTCATGTAGATACAGTCAGCAGCAATATAGGTGTCATTTTCTGAGTTATTATCCAGCCATGTTGTATTTATGTCCGACTTTGTTTATTTTTGAAATGCATGCCAGCCAAGGAGAGCAGTATTTGTCATACTGTTCCTTCTTAAGCACTGTATTCTCTTAAGCACTTCTATATACTGTTTGTCTAGATGTAAATGAGTCTGTGCAGTTTGTCCTGACAAAGCTACTGCGTTCGAAGTAACTACATGAAATACTACCTGGGGCTACAAGCAGTAGCCTACCCTTTCATTTTCCATCCTATAACTCTTTGTTTTACAAGCTGAAGAGAAACTTAAGGTAGAGGAAAAACTTTTGTCAGCTGAGTAGTTCTTTAAAATCTTCATTTAAATGGCTTATTTTTAAGAGCACAGTTGCTTTTTTCCAACTTCCAGAATGTATTAAATTTGCAATGGGAAATGGAGTTTTATATTCACCTGTATTGTGTCCGTGTATTTGGATAAAGTACATACAGCTGGACCATGTATTAGTAAAGAAACAGAGTATGAAAACTTACATATCCATGGATGATATTCTTAATTAGGACCAAAGCTCAAAAATGTATTTTATCTGTGCTGTGATGGAAGCATCGTTTGATATGATTTTCATTATATACCAGCTCCCTCAACTCCAGCTTACGGAAAGCAGTCAGGTGGGGCTTGCTGGGAAGAGGTGTTTATGCAGGAGAATCCAAGCTTTGCCCACTTATCCGGAGTCAGAGGACAGTGTTAATCCGGAGTCAAAGCAGATCTCAACGCTTTGTTGGGTTTAAATGCCTTCAAAGACGTGGTGACTGCATGTCCTAGCTTGAGTGTCCAGAAACCTTCTGTGTAAAGCTCCGTGAGCTGTGTCAGGTCTCAAACAGCACTTCCATCTCTTCTCAACCAGCATGTTCACTTTGCAAATTGATTTTTAATTGTGAGTCAGCTCCTATTTGCTTAATGCTTCTGCAGCCATCATATCCTGATGGCAGACAAGAAATTTCATATGCTCTCTAGAGTGAAAGTAAGTATGGGGCTTCTGTGATTAAATAAACTTCTACATTTAAAACTTATGCCAGAAGAGTACCTTTAGGTTTGCTTGTAATGTAGTACCATTTTTGGTTGGGGCTGGGGGAGATATGCCAAAACCCTGCCTGTTTCAAGAAACTGCAGTGTTTTCAATTGTTAGCGGCTTATATAAAAAGATAAATCATTTAAGTGTAAAGGATAGAGATTAATGGAAAAAATGTGCTTTCATTCATATTGCTTCATCTCATTCATTGTTCTCTAAAGAAGCGTTGCCTGCTTGCTTTCCTCTTGTTTTAGCTGTAGATTATTCTTAGCACCAACAACTTGATCCACTCTCTTTTTTCTTTCTCCAGCATTGCCATGGCAACTAAAGAAAATATGACTTCGCAGAGAGGAATGTTGAAGTCGATACAAAGCAAGATGAATACCTTGGCTAGTATCCTTTCCTAAAGGTTTGGGTTGTCGGTGCGTAAGACGTGTAGTACAACTTGTCACTCTGTCACTTGGGGATCAAAATGCTTTGTGATGTCAATGGCTGCGTAACCTGTAGTGGTATTGTCATTAGTGACAAACAGACCATTTTTTAAGCAGTCTCGCGTGATAACCTGACTGAAGCATCTTCATGATGAATGTGATGAATAAGTTGGTTTTACTCAAATTTGAATACTACCTATAAATCAATGCAGCTTAATTTTCAAGTAGAGATTTGCAACAGCATTTTATGGCCTTCTCTGCTATATGTTTTTATTAAAGTATTATTTCATTTGACTACTTGCTTTTTGCTTTTAAGACTGTCCAGAGCTGAAGCTTGGCATACATTGCTGCTTGTCATGGTTTACAGCTAAGAGTATTCATGACCTGAGCATCCTCTTGTCTGTCACAGCCTTGTAGGTGTTAAGATTTTCCTTTGTTGGTTTCTCCTCATATTCTGTGCTCATGGCTAAAGAATGTGCCGGACTGTTAAGTCATGCATGTTTGTCATTTTCCCACTTACTCCTTCCTTTCTGTCATAAGAGCCCAAAGAACAACATTAGCATCATTTGATTAGAAAGATTACATCCTGAAGAGATGGATCTTGGTAACCCATAAATTTCATTACAGTTCTTAGCAACTGGCAGGAACAAAAAAAAATTCAATAAGCTTTGGCCTTAAAAGATTCTTGGTTCCAAAGACATGAAGCCCTGAAACTTATTGTCTTGTTGGCAATTGTATTTTGTACATTAAAAGATAGATTTACATCTTTATGATTTTACCGTAGGAGGAGTTCTTCCTCACGTGCTATACTTGAACAGCGCGTAGTCATGCAACGTGCATGATTTTCTCAGTCAAATGCCTTTGGTTGTTCCCTTTACCAGTAGCAGAATTCCATTAAATAAATTCCACAGATGTTTTATATAACTGCCCCATTTATTTTTTTTTCATTCTCATTTAAACACAGTTATTAAAAGTAACTAAGCCTCACATACTGGAGATTAAAGTATATCAAATGCTGGTAATTTAGGTGATCAGGTGATGAATTCTGTGTAAATGTGAACTCTAAGCTGTTCTCTCTTTTCTCGGCCTGTCTGTTGTTAGTGAAGTACAGTTGTAATCCTGCTAACTATCCATCAGGTTTTTTTACTGCATCTGCTTTCTCCAGCTTGGGAGTAGTTCTGCATTTCTTGGAGTATTGAGATTTCCACATGCAGAATTTGGGGCTTCTTAGTGAGGATACTGTTTGCTGATATGACCTTGACTCAGACTCCTTTAAGATCGGTTTCCAGCAGTCAACAGCCTGATTCAAAGGATCAACCTTCGGAAACGACGAGATTCTCTCATCTTGGGTGGCATTATTGGCATCTGTACCATCTTACTGCTGCTATATGCTTTTCATTGATGGATGTTCCCCCATGGACTCTGCTAAACTCATCACCACCATTCCTCCCCCCCAGTCAAGGAAAAGTGAGTGGGGAAGTGACAGACTTCAAACAGCCTGCTCATTATGGCTGGGAGTATCAGCATGATGTCTAGAGCTTATGACGGTAGACTGCGACACTGGGTTTGGGTTGAAGCTGCAGTGTTTCTCCTTCCCTGCCATACATCTTCCTTTGGTTAAATTTTGTGGGATTTGTTTGTCTTTAATTCCCTCTCTCACTGCAAGGTAAGTAAATCTGGGATGCTTACCAGAACTGGTAGAACAGTTTCTGTGCTCAGCCGTGCTGAGGAGGTCTCTTGTTGGCTGGTAAGTGGAAAAAGATTATTATGCTTGCCTTGGGTGGAAACTCTTCAAGAAGCCTATTTCCGCTGTAGGCCAAGGACAGTACTGAACGCTTTTGCCCTGTGAGAAGAATATTGCAGCTTTAAGCCGTCAGGTTGCTTTACTACTAAATACATGTTCTGTAATTCTTTTTAACTCATGGTTGAGATACTAGTTATTTCTGCATAATTTGTGCTGTGAAAACTGTGCTTCACACAAATTCCTCACGGTGAAAAAAAACAAACAAAAAAGGGTTGTTCAGTTCACTTTTTGCACAGAATATGAATAAACTACTCTCTGAGGAAGATTTGTAAGGTTTCTTGTGGCTTTAAAGGGACTGGCAAGTCCCCCTTTGTAAAAAGGGAGCACAGTGTCCCAGCAGCTGTTTACTATAGTGTTCAGTCATCTGAAAAGTGACCAAACATGAATTCACCTAAAAGTAGTCTTTTGGGTGTAAGTACTTTGATTTTGGCTGGCATCATAAAGGTCTTTATAAAGACACGATAAGCAGTTTGAAAAGTCTATATTGTAATTTAGATAAAGTTATTCTAATAGCGTTAATATTTTTACACTAAGTAGGATATAATCTAAACTGTCAATTGGAAATGAAAATTATGATGGTTATACCTGAGGCAAATGTATCTGCGGGCAAAGTTTTTGAACGTAACTCCTCATAGTAAAGAGTTGAATGTATGAATAGTGAAACAAGTATTATTTACCATTATCTGGGGGGGGGAATTTTTTTTTTTGTCCAGACCTGCAACACGAATCTTGTTGTGTTTGCGTCTCTAAACAAAGCTGACGTCAGGAATGGCTTTGATATGGCAGATTCACAACTTACAGATTTTTCTGCTCTTTCAGCAGCTCTTTTCCATCTGGCATATCATAACCCAATAAATTCAAACTGAGGCACTGAAATATCTTTCGAAGGACTCAATTAACTCTTTTCACAATCAATTTACAGTGCTCTTAACAGATTTCATGTATGCCGTTACCCACAAATGTCAGATAGTCTCCAGGTTCTCTTCTGGAACAAAGTCTAGCGGGACGGACACAATTTTTTACTGCTTTTTATAGTGTCTGTGAAGTACCTGTTGGAGAAAGTAGAGACTTGTGCCTGTGTAGTGTGCAAAACCACACTGTTGCGCCTAAAATGTTTGTATGGATTTGGAGGCTTATTTGCAGACTAATAACTTGTGCTAAAAAGTCAACAAAGGCTTCTAATCAGTCATCTTGTTGTTGGGATTGGAAAGCATTTGGAATTAATGCGTGTAAAACTCTGGGGCTTGTATTTTAAATAAAGGGTGATTATTTGGTTGATTTGGGAATGTTCCTGGTTTGAAATGAAGTGTTTATTAAAGGGATTTATGAAAAACCTTGATGGATAAAGGAGGTTTATTAATGAATCTGTGTGCTGGGAGATCAAACCTCTTCTCCTCAATGCTTTTCCTTTCATTCCACCACCACCCTAAGGGACCCTGATCAGCAGTCGTGCTTCTGTTTAGGATTTGTAGGATTTGGTTGCTTTATAGTTGGCAATATGAGATCTGCAGTACCGTAAATAAATTCACTTATTTAATCTTATAACCAGTCTTTTTACTGGACTTAAGTGATTATTTGGTGCATATATTTAATCTTATTGTGTGAAAAAGCTGCTATGGAAAATATGTAGATTATAATAAATATGTAAACATAATTGATTTTTCATGTTATGAAAATGTTATGGAGGAACTGATATATTTTAGTATAAAATAATGGAAATATACTGAATTGTCTCTGATAAAGCTTTACTGGAAATGGTTTCAGTGCTGGCAACCCCTCCGTGCTTTTTATTTGTGTTGGTTTTGAGACAGAGTTTTGTGTTGAAAAATACATTTAATTAACCTTGTAGTCTCCCCTTCATCATCATCTTGTCCTCTAGCAATGTGAGCAGGCGTTCTGCATTGCTCTCTGAAGTGGTGCGCTTGCATACGGCCGAGGGGAAAGACTGGCTAATTCTCCTGAGCGTCTCTGATAACATGGACCTGTAGTTAGGGCAATGGACTGTAAAATTAAAGCAGTGGATTGTAGTATTTAGTCTCAAACCCCAAAATATAGGTTTGTATGTCTCCTGTTGCTAAATATGTTCTCTATGTTTTTCATTCTGTGTGGTTCCTCTTGCTCTAAGGGAAAAAAATGTGGTTAAAGAATTCTCATTTCTGCAATTCCTGGCAAAGCTGCAGTTTTGTAACTCAACCAAATAAGAGTTGTGCTGAGAAATTTATCGCTGAGGCATACAAATGAAGTGAGAAAATCCATAATATTTCTACAGGGCACATTTCCCACACACGCAGACTTTTTAAATTTCTGCTTTATTCTCGCCAGTACACAAGCTCCTATTTTAAACCTGTCCAACGACCCCTTAGCTCGGCGTTAGAACGTAAGGGATCGTATTGATAACTTTTGATGCCACGCTTCACAGACGCGAATATCTTTATCCTTGCTTTTTAGACTTTTTTTTTTTCCTACATGTTTATCTGATCTTCAAGCGCTGGGTGCTAGAGCAGAGGAATGGCATTCGGGCAACACCCAGCATTGCGTGCTCAGTCAATAGCGCGTGTTTGTGTGGCCGTCGCCCAGACCGCAGCCCTTCACGGGCGGCTGCCCGAGCGCGGCTGGAGGCAGGGCTTTGCTATCCCCTGTGTCCCTGGGACCAAGCAGTGTGCTGCTTCTGGTAAGGCGAGAGTTTGCCCTTCCAGGGAAGGCACAATGCTGTTTATTAACCAGTATTGATTTCAGGAGTTTTTTGATATCTAAGTGTGGTGTAAATTCCCGCTGGATTCATTACACTGAATAATCAACTAGAATTTTTCATTTGTAGCTTTAGAAGTCCTTTCTTTTGGACAGTCTTAAGATTACTGTGAGAAGAAAGAGCCAGTTCCTCGCTGGATGTTGAAAACAAAAGAGCAAAAGTAGATTTTTGAGGTCATGTGAAAGTTTCAGATAAATTTTTGACAGCTTGTCCGCCAGGGCTGCGTCCTCTGGGAAGCTGTGTTCCTGAAGCTCCCCCACAACTGCTGCACAGGGAGCAAAGCCTGGTCCACCACTTCTGAGTGTGTAACTCATGTAGGCGGGACTATTTTAACTCTTTAAACCTAGCAGCTTGTTTCCCAAGATCACTTAATGCATAACCTTTTCCTATTTTTACTTTTTTTCCCTCCCCCCCAAAGCTTTCATTTGAAGCGGGAAGGAGAGGTAGCAGCTGTACCGCTTCTGAAGGAGGAATTCATTCCGAAACTCCTCATAACAGTGTCTGATTATGAAATCCTTCAGAGCAGTGGTTGCGGTGAGCAATGGGCAGTACAGGAGACTACAAGGAAAGACACAGGGAGACAAAACTGAGCCATATTCCAGGTGACATCTGCAAGTCCTCTTGGTGCCCTCTCTCTCTCTCCTGTCGACTGGATATTTGAAACCAGTGCCATGCTGTCAGTTCTGATACATAAGCGGTTGTTGGTCTGTCTACTACTGAGTGAGGAAAGCAGTTTAAATAAACACTCAAGACAAAAAACAAAACCCTTTCTCACAAAATATCCCAGTCCAGACCCTTGTAAATGATTTTCTGATTGCACTTTCTGATTTTTTGCTTTTCATACAGCTTCTTGAAACTTATTTTATTGTAACTGTAATTATTTTTGTTCTCACTTATTTTGCATTCTCTGTATCTATTAAAAAAAGCTTTGATATGTAATTTAATAATAAATTAGAATTCTAAGCAAGGTGCTTGGTTCTTTCCCCATGATAGTCTTTGCCTGCCTGAACTTCAGGGAGGATGCAGAGAAGATTCATCTCTCCGGTTTGGGATTGTCACTGAACATGTGAATTAGTTTGTTCTCCATTTTTGTGCCAACCAGCAGATGTGATGGAGCATATCCTGACCCAAAGTGCTCGGTTTGGCGGGATGTCTTCCTCCTGCCTGCATGTGCATCCGCCTTGGGAGGGTCTGAATATATAGTCATGACTTTTTTCTTGCTGTTCTTTGACAGATGGAACAAGGATGGTTTTCTTTACAGGTAAGCTTTAAAAAATTTGTCTATATCCATAATATAAAACACTTAATTCCCAAATGCACACCAAAACTGGTGTTGATCTGAAAAGCCTTCTCAGCATAAGGTGCCTCCCCCCTTTTTTAATACACTTCTCAGTAGTTTGGTACCTTCCCCCCCCCCCTTCTGCAATCACAACACAAACACCAAAAATAAGCCGATACTTTGAACACAGTACAAGCAATCGTAAAAACTCTCGCCGTGAAGTTCTGTCATACCCTGTAGTCCTCCAGCCATGCTGCGGTCTGGACCACCTCTGTCCTCAGGTGTTCAAACCGGGCAGTGTCGTGCCTGAAGGACCCATCTGTATCTGGGTTTTTTTGCAATTGGTGCTAAATTGTTCAATGCCACTCAAATTTATTTTCTCAAACAAGAAAATCTGCCTGGCAGTGTGATACCTGCCTATTTCCATAAGGCTCAGGGTGAGAAGAGGTGGTTCTCTTCATTTCAGAGCTGTCGTGCTGTGTCTGTAGCGCTGCTTTAAAGTGGAGATAGATTTCTGTATCCTTAATGTGCCTACGAAATATTCAGGAATGACCATATGCTTTCTCAAGG